GTGTTTGAGTTTCCTAAGAGTCAAACCATAACGAGGAGGAAACTGGAAGAAAATAGGACAAATTCTTGGGAGGCTGGCGAGATTTTACTTTTCAGATGCTAAATTCTGTGATACTACATGGGAGTTTTTTTGTTTGTTTGTTTTGTTAGCTTGTTTGTTTACTTAAGTTCCTAATGGGGACATATTCTGAAGAGCAGTTTCTACATGTGCAGATTACTTTTTATGCCCCTTTCTTGTAGTGATTCTCAATCTGAATCTAAGGAAAGGGAACTAAGATTTATCAGGCATTTACAGATGCCGGGGGCTTCCCTGGGGGCTCAGATGGTAAAGAATCTGCCCACAGGGCAGGAGACCCGGGTTTGATCCCTAGGCTGGGAAGATCCCCTGGAGAAGGAAATGACAACCCACTCCAGTGTTTTCGCCTGGGAAATCCCACGGACAGAGGAGCCTGGCAGTACAGCCCGCGGAGTCGGAAAGAGTTGGACACGACTGAGTGATGTCTCTTTAACTACAGGTGCCAGGGGTCTTACATATATTATAGCCTTTATTACCCCCATTTGAAACCCAAGAAAACTGAGAGTTGGGGAGCTGGTTAATTATCCAGAGACAAGGGCTTCCCCGGTGAACCAGCGGTTAAGACCTTGTGCTTCCACTGCAGGGACAAATGCGAAGGAGGTGCCCACTCAACTTTGAAACCCAACTCCGCTTTACTCCCTTGTTTTCACCCACACTCCTGACCACAGTGACTCTTGTCGCCACCTCCATCTGGGGCCTGGAGTTCTATAACCCGAGAAGCTCGATTCTGCAGACTTCAGTGTGCATTAAAAACCCTGGGGGAAGATACAAATTCTTGGGCCACATCAGATTCCATCCCTCACTAGTTGAAGAGGGGACAGGTATCCTCATTTGTAATAGGTGATGCGGGGTTGGCCCACTCTTAGTCTGCCCTGGAGGACCACTGGCCCAGACACTCAGGATTCTGCCATCAGAAAGTTCTGGAGTTCCTAAGTATTGAGGGCAGTCTGCTAAGCTGACCAACTATCCCAGTTTGTTCAGGATTGAGGAGTTTCCCCAGATGTGGAAATTTAAGTGCAAAAGCTAGGAAAATCCCAGACTAGTCAGAACCACCTGGTCACCCTGTGGGTTCAAGAGGCCAGTCACAGACCAGGCTTGCTCCCTGATGTGCAGAAATGTTGGTAGTTCAGCCACAGTCTGGTCACTTCCCCAGGCTAGTGTGGCTGAGCAGAGAGAAATTCCCCACCTAGGAGTGTCACTAATGTTTCAGAGCTGGCTGAATGGACCATCTAGAACCAAATAAAGTACGTTTTCTATCACACTCATAAGAAAGAAGAACGATCGGCATCTGAGAGTCCTTACACCCCTGTAGTTAAGAACTCAGGCCTTGGGATCTTCTTTTGGTCAGGCTGGTCTTCCTTATGGTGACGGCGTTCTCCAGTTTCAGAGAGAGGGGGCTACGCTCCAGTAGCGATGCTCCGGCTTCGCATTGCAGTGGCTTCTCCTGTCTCAGAGCACAGGCTGTAGAACTTGGGCTTCCGTAGTTGCAGCACATGGGTTGTGTGGGATCTTCCCCAGACCAGGGACTGAACCTGTGTCCCCTGCATTGGCAAGCGAACTCTTAACCACCAGACCACCGGGGAAATCCCATAGTCTACTCCAGAGGATACTCATTTCATTTCTTGAAAGCTCTTCCTATAGATCTTGAATTCTTTACCTCCCTTGTTTTGCATCTACCTATTGCTTGCATTTCTTACTAAAATCTGTATTTATTAAAAGAAACAGTAACCCACTCTAGCTAGCTTAGGTTGAAAGGACAGATTTCTGGAAGGATACAGACAGGCAGTCCAGAACTACAGGTCTGACTTGGCATCAGGAAGGACCAGGACCAGGAAGTGGAAGCACTGGGAGCTGGGAGATACTGTGTCTCCACGCTGCCTCTCTCTGCCCGTCTTCTTCCTCCTCTTCCGGGTAGACTGGCTGCATCTGCAGAAAATTCAGGTGCCCAGGGCTCGCTGTTTGACATGTCTCAGTGTCACTGTGGAGACTGCATCTGTTCAGTGTGTGTGTGTGTGTGTGTGTGCGCACTCAGTCGTGTCCGACTCTGTGACCCCCATGGATTGCAGCCCACCAGGTTCCTCTGTCCATGGAATTTTCCAGCAAGAATACTGGAGTAGGTGCCATTTCTTGCTCTAGGAGATCTCCCGACCCAAGGATTGAGCCCAGGTCTCTTGCATCTCCTGCATCGGCAGGTGAATCTTTTACCACTGCGCCACCTGGGAAGCCCATCTCTTTGAAAAAAAACAACTCCAGATTCTCAGGGAAGAGCTGGATTTGCCCAGCCTGGGTCAAGTCTTGCCCCTGATTTACTCAACGGTAGTTGGAAGAGCATGGCCTTTTAGTTCAATCCAGGTGGCTGGGACCCGGCCCCGCGGCAGAGGGCGGAGGGAAGGCAGTGAAGGAGCCGCCGTGAGCTGTCCACGCTGCGATGCATCACTGACCTTGAGCTTTCCCATCCTCACTCTTCCACACGCCACCGTCAGAAGAAGACAGTGCCAGCTGCCTGCGTGACCATCACAGCTCTGCTGCTTCCTTGCCATGTGACTCGGAGCAGGTCACCGAGCCTCAGTTTCCTCATCTGTGCAGTGAGTGTTGTGAATGTTGCCCTAAGTTGACTGGCCTAAAATTCTTAAAGCCCTGATGTCACAGGACTTCCCTGGTTGGTGGTCCAGTGGCTAAGACTGCACAACCCCAATGCAGGCACCCAGGTTCAATCCCTGGTCAGGGAACTAGATCCCACATGTTGCAATAAAGACCCAGCTCAGCCAAATAAATAAATATTAAAAAGAAAAAAACTCCGATTGTCACATAGTAAGGACATCAAAGAATACTTAGCCATTATACTAAGAGCCTTTATTGTTTTTAAATTTCCCTCGTGGAAAAAAAAAAAAAATTTCCCTCGTGGACCACAGAAGATTATTACCACTGCTTATTTTTAAAATAGTGTTCTGCTTTAAATATAATGTCTAAGAGAAAACACTTTGTCACTGCTATAAATGGAAATCAATACCATATTCTAAAAAGAAAGGAACTATTTTAGAAAATGTACAAAAATATAATGCTAAATTCTAGCCATGTCGTGTTGCCTGCTGAAGGCGCTTAAGAGCCGATGACCTGCTCTTTCTTGGTTCCAAAGGGAGCTTTGCAAGTATTAGAGAGGTGTTAAAGACATATTAGCGTCACACTGAGACTGTCTTCTTTGAGTAATCATAAGGATGGACCAGACAATGGGAAGAGCATTGTGTTCTCACGTCGGGATTCTCTGTGATTAACGCCTTGTCCCTGTGCCACTGAAACCCTCTCCCAGACCACAGACAGGGAAACACTGTTGTATCCTCAAATCTCTATTCACATTATAACAGTCAGGTTTTTGTTTAGCAGGGATTGCCACTTCCTTCACCAGCCCTCCCAGCATCTCCACCGGCCTGGTGGCAGGCTCTCCGACATGCTGTGTATTGGCTGAGTCTACGGGTTCTCAAGAACTAATGCACCGTTGTAAACTTGGGCAGTCACTTTGGAAGGTCGCTGCTAGTTCCTCTAAAGGATAAACCTAGAGTTACTTCACTCCTGAGCAGATGCCCAAGATGACTGAAAGCATATATTCGTAACAGCCCAGAAATGGAAATAAGCCTAATGTCCATTAACAGATGAATGGATAAATGAAATGGAATATTTGGCAATGAAAAGGGATAAGGTATGGACACATATTGGGCTTCTCTGGTAGCTCAGCTGGTAAAGAATCTGCCTGCAATGCAAGAGACCGCGGTTCGATTCCTGGGTCGGGAAGCTCTCCTGGAGAAGGGATAGCAGTATCCTTTGGCTTTCCTGGTGGCTCAGACGGTAAAGAATCCACCTCAGGAGGCCTGGGTTCCATCCCTGGGTCGAGAAGATCCCTGGGGAAGGGAGAAGCTATCCACATCAGTACTCTGGCCTGGAGAATTCCACGGACAGAGGAGCCTGCCAGACTACAGTAGTCCATGGACGTGGCTGAGCGATTTTGGAAAAAAAAAAAAAAAAACGGACACATATTACCATACAGATGGATCTTGAAAACATGAAGTCAAGTAAAAGAAGCCAGTCCCGATGGGTCACGTGTTTGAGAGGTGCGTGCACGCTCAGTCCTGTCCAACTCTTTGAGACCCTATGGGCTGTAGCCTGCCAGGCTCCTCTGTTCATGGGATTTTTCAGGCAAGAATGCTGGAGTTAGTTGCCATTTCCTTCTCCAGGGGATCTTCTTGAACCAGGGATTGAACCCGCATATCCTGTGTCTCCTGCATTGACAGGTGGAGTTCTTTACCACTGAGCCCCTGGGAAGCCCTTTAAAAATGCAGAATAGTCAAGTCCATAGAGACAAGACTTGACTTGTCTACTAGAGGGAGGTAGGACTGGGGGGAATTGGGGAATGAGTACTAGTGAGGAAGGGGTTTCTTTTTGAGATAATGAAAATGTTCTGGATTTAGTGGTGATGGTTGCACAATTCTGTGAATAAACTAAATGCCACTGAACCGTATATTTGAATAGGTGAGCTGTATGGTATGCGAATTATATCTCAAGAAAGCTATTTTAAAAATAGCTGACATGCCCAGGGAGGAGTTGGATGACCAATACTACACCTCATAGAATGTATAGCTGATTGTTGCCCTGCCCATTCCATTGACTCATGGGCCAGGTTGCCCATCGCCACATGATTCTGTTTGTAAGACAAGGATTCTGCCTGTAGCAACACATTTGAATACATTAAAATCTTTATCCAGGAGAATGGTCACCATGATGCTTAGTTTTTGTTTTGTTTTGTTTTGTTTTGATGCTTAGTTTTGATTAGTCTTTATCATTCAGAGTGGCTGGGGCCAATCCATTTAATAAACCCATTTGAAAAAAAAAAGTGCTTTTTTTGAGCACCTACTAAGTGCCAAGCAGTGTCCTAGGATATGGAGGGACAGCGGTGAAGGCGACTGAAAAGGACACAGCCCTGACGGAGGAGGCGCCCAGGGGAGAGAGACCGCCCAAAACCAGCTCCTGCGGGCAGCCAAGGAGGGTCGTGTCAGGAAGCGACGCGCGTGCGCCTGCGGCAATGAAACAGAGCGACAGGAGAAGGGGCCCGAGGAGGGCAGCCTTCTCGCGAGTCCATTTGCGTGAGGAGGAGCCGCCAGCCCTGGGGACACGACCGGAAGGGGGTTCCCGGCGGAGAGCAGCGACTGCTGAGGCCCCGCGGCAGGCAGAGGCCGCCCGACAGAGGCGGGGTCCGAGGCCGGCGCATCAGTATCACACGGTGCTCCATGTTGTCTTCAGGAGCAACGTGCAGAGCGGAAGGGGCTGCAGGGAGGCAGGCGGCCCTGGTCACAGAGGTTCTGGGGCCTTGGGGGGAGTTTGATCTAGTCAGACGGGAGCTGCTGGAGGGGGTGTGAACACACAGGGGCAGGTTCCGATCCGCTTTCCAGACGATCGCCGACTACTGCAGAGAATGGACTGCGGGGAGGCGCACGCAGGGCCGAGAGACCTGCCAGGACGCCAGAGCAGCTGTCTGGCCTGTTTTGTGCTGCCTTATCTAAAAACAAGACGGAGGGCCTCCACTTGTTGTTAAAATTGTCCAAGTATTTACAAGCCTAATTTGTTTGAACAAAAATGTAGAGGGATGAGTTGAAACGCAGAGGGCTCCAATGCTTAAATTTATCTGCTCACATACATAGAGTCTTAATCTCGACCGGCCTGAACGCCTGCGTGGATGGACGGCGTTATTCACCAGGCTGAAACATCCTGCAGGTGACCGCTGACACTGCGGTGCGGTGTCCTTCTATGCGAGCACAGACGTCAGCTGGGCTGAGTGATGACTAAAGAGTAAAGGTTAGATTGACGGAGATCATATATATATATATATAATATTTTTTAATTTATTTGTGTATTCATAAGTGAATGAAAGATGATGTTTATTCAGTGTATTTGTAAGTAATGAAGGATGAGATACTAATTATAAATTAAAATTTAATAAATGATAATCGTAATTTATATATTGTATATTTATAATATAGTCATTGTATATTAAATACTGATATATATGAAGTGTATGTGTGTTATGTCTATATGCATATTCTTTCATACCACATATATAGAAATGTATCAGTTTGCAATTGCCACACATGGGTCTTCCCGAATCAAAATCACTTATTTCCATTCAAACTCATTTAGGCTAACAATTCAAAGTTAACCACCAGCATAACCCTGTTCAAGTAGGAACATGGTTTTCTATCATCCAGCTCATTCAGGTCATTCTACGGCTGCAATACGTCTCAACGTGTATCTAATGGGTTCATTAAAACAGTACTTTTCCCCCTTTGGGGTTAATAATACTTTCTGGATATTGAAAAGCTCTATTATTCTCTTCTTCCCTCTAGAAATTCACAGACCAGCTTAATTCTGTGTAAATGGACAGATTTGAGGGTATTTTCTGGGATATGTATTCTGCATGTTAAAGGTAGAGACAGCAAAGAACCGTGGGGCTGGCGTCCTTCTAGATGGTTCCTTTTCCCCTAAGGCCAGTCAGCTGCCGAATCCTGAATTCTCTCTACTGCGCCCTGGGGATGCTTCTGCCCGTCCTATCGTCTCAGACTGCATCTTCACGGCCTCTTTACGTAACAACTGGACAGTATCTTGTCTTCAGAGTCTTATGCTTCCCCAGCTAGAAGCATTTATGAGTCAGTCTTGACACCTCTTTTCTCCTCATCCTCCTTGTCCAAACCATCAACAAGTCCTACCAATTTTTAAAAATGTTTATTTATTTGGCTGTCCCGGGTCTTAGCTGTGGCACATGGGACGTTCACTCTTCCTTGCGCCATGCAGGATCTTTAGTGGAAGCATTCCAGATCTTTTTTTTTTTTTTTTTTTTTTAAGCTGTGTCATGTGGGATCTAATTCCCTGACCAGGGATCAAACCTGGGCCCCCTACACTGGGAGTATGGAGTCTTCACCACTGGACCACCAGGGAAGTCCCAGCCCTACCAGTTTTGCTGCCTAGAAATCTCTTACACATCTGCGTGTCTCCCACTGACCCCCATCCAGCCCATCCCCCTGGACTGAGCCATCGGAGGCACCTCCGAACCGGCCCCTGCATCCGCTCTTATCCTTGAACAACCTATCCTCCTCGCGCACTACACTTGACACAGCTGTAAGGCCACACTAACTGGTGTCCTATTTAAATGACACCTTTCACTCCCAGGCTTCCCTGGTGGGTGGCTCACTGGTAAAGAATCTGCCTGCCAAAGCCTGAGACTCAATAGACGCGGGCTCAGTCCCTGGGCTGGGAAGATCCCCCGGAGAAGGACATGGCAACCCACTCCCGCATTCTTGTCGGGAAAATCCCATGAACAGAGGAGCCTGGCGGGCTACAGTCCACGGGGTCACGGAGAGTCCGACTGACACTGAGCATGCGCGCGCGCACTTTCACGCTCCTCCCCCGTAAGCTGCATGAGGACAGAGACCACATCACTTGTCCGTTTTTTTGTCTTATTTAATTGTGTGTTTATTTTGGCTCGCTGGGTCTGGCTTGCTCCCCTCCGGCTTCCCCTGGCTGTGGCTCGAGGGGCAGGGCTTCTCTCGCCACGGAGCACAGGCTGCAGGCACGCGGGTTTCAGAAGCTGCGGCACAGGCACTCAGGTTGCAGGTCCGGGGCCCGGGGCCCGGGGCCCGGAGCACAGGCTCAACAACTGTGAGTCTCGGGCTTCGTTGCTCCACAGCACGTGGGATCTTCCTGGAGCAGGGACCGAACCGGGGTCCCCTGCATTGGCAGATGGGTCTTTAACCACGGAGCCACCAGGGAAGTCAGGTTATCCATTTCTGAGAAACAAATTATCCCCAGACGAAGCCGCTGAAAGCAGCGGTGATTTCTGCAGTTAGCATCATGTGGCTCAGCAGTCTGGGTGTGGTTTAATGGATGCCTCTAGTTCCAGATACAATTAACGTGTAGGCTGGGGGACTTCCCTGTTGGCCCAGTGGCTAAGACTCTGCACTCCCAGTGCAGGGGCGTGTGTTTGACGCCTGGTCAGGGAACTCGATCCCATCACACCGCAATGATGGGTTTGTATGGCGCAGCTAAGGCTCCCACATGCCGTAGCAAAAACTGAAGACCTCTAGTACTGCACCCACGACTGCGCTGCCAAATGAATGACTTTTAAGTTACATAGCAGGTGTATGGAGGTGGTTTAGTCAAGTCAGTCGTGTCCAACTATTTGTGACCCCATGGACCATAGCCCTCCAGGCTCCTCTGTCCATGGGATTTCCCAGGCAAGAATACAAGAATTGATTGCCATGTCCTCCTACAGGGGATCTTCCCGACTCAGGGATGGAACCTACGTCTCTTACATCTGCTGCTTTGGCAGGCAGATTCTTTACCACAAGTGCCACCTGGGACGCCCACAATTAGCAGCTATGCTAATCATGGAAAACATAAATCAAGTGCAGGCTGGGGTTGTGCCCTGATGTAAGGTGTTCACCCGGGAAGGCTGTGTGGTTGTCGGCAGAACTCGGCTCCTGGTGGCTGCTGGAGTGTGGGACTACGTGGGTCTCTGGCCGTTGACCGGACGCCTTGCTGAGCTCCCGCCAAGCAGGCCCCTTCACAGGGCAGCTCACAACACGGCAACTGACCCTCTCAGGGCAAGTGAGCTGTGAGACAGAGCAACGGCGGGCGAATGGCACAGAAGTCACAGCCTTTGTGTAAGCAAGCTTTGAAATGACACCCCCTTACTTCTGTCATATTCTGTTCATTAGAACTGAGTCACTGGCTTCAGCCCACACCCAGGGGTGTGAATACCAGGGGTGGGGGCCGCTGGAGCTGTCTCAGAGGTCGCCTAACCTGGAGCCTAGCTCTGTTTTGACTCACCATTATTTCCCCAAGTTATTTGCCCATGTGGCTGGCACTTAGTAAATAAGTAAATAGTCCATAGTAAACCCCTACGTGATTCTACCTAAAACGCCAACTGAATCATGCCACATCTGTGTTCAAAAACCTTCAGTCGACTTCTGCTTCTCAAATTACAGAATTTTGATCCTTCATAATCCTCTTATAAACTACCTTTTATTTCAGAAACTACTTGCCACTATCTAAAGGCATCAACAGGGCTTCGCAAGTGGCGCCAGTGGTAAAGAGCCTGCCTGCCAATGCAAGAGATACAAGAGGCTGGGGTTCGATCCCTGGGTCAGGAAGATCCCCTGGAAGAGGGCATGGCAACCCACTCCAATGTTCTTGCCTGGAGAATCCCCATGGACACAGAAGCCCGGCGGGCTACAGTCTATGGCGTGCAAAAGACTGGGACATAACTTATCAACTAAACAGCAACAGAGCTTGCTGTGGTGATCATTTCACAACATATTAATATGTAAGTCAAGTCATCATGCTATACACCTCAACCTTATACAGTGCTGTATGTCAATTTCAATAACTGAAAAAAGGTAGATGTATGCATGTGTTATGGGGGGCTGGAGAGAGAGGAATTGGTGGAGCACTCACCACCATCATAAAAACCGGTGGGGGATTCTTAGGGGCGTGAAAATACTCTGCATGACACTGTAATGGTCAATATATGTCCTTATATATTTGTCCAAACCCATAGAACGTCCAGTGCCAAGTGAACCCTGATGCGAACTCTGGACTTTGGGCGATGATGCATCAGTGTAGGTTCCTCGGTCACAACAAATGCCACCCCCCCCCCCCCCCCGGTGTGAGATGCGCCGGGCCGGGGGAGGGGGACGGCACCAATATTTAGGACGACTTTGTACCTTCTGCTCAGTTTTGCGATGAACCTAAAGTTAAGCTCAAAACTAAAAACAAAACGTATTTCTTCATAATGAATTTGTCAACTTTTAAGAATAATTTCAATCATCGAGCAGAACACATGAGCTTAATAAGTCTACCACCTGTTTCTCACTGTATTTTACACGGATCTTCTCATTTAATCCTCATAATGTCATTAGTGAAGTGAAAGTCGCTCACTCGTGTCCGATTTTGTGACCCCATGGACTACATAGTCCATGGAGTTCTCCAGGTCAGAATACTGGAGTGGGTAGCCGTTCCCTTCTCCAGGACATCTTCCCAACTCAGGGATGGAACCCAGGTCTTCTGCATTGCGGGCAGATTCTTTACCAGCTGAGCCACAAGGGAAGCCCGCTTAATGTCGTTAGGGAGGTCACTATTATCTCCATTTTCAGGAATGAAAAACTGAGCCGTGGCAAAGCCAAGTATGCTCTACACGGCCACGTGACTCGTTACAGGTGGAGCAAAATCCAAAGACAGTCTAACCTCAGAGCCTGCTGCTGCTGCTGCTAAGTCGCTTCAGTCGTGTCCGACTCTGTGCAACCCCATAGACGGCAGCCCACCAGGCTCCCCCGTCCCTGGGATTCTCCAGGCAAGAACACTGGAGTGGGGTGACATTTCCTTCTCCAATGCAGGAAAGTGAAAAGTGAAAGTGCAGACACTCAGCCGCGTCCGACTCTTCGCGACCCCATGGACTGCAGCCCACCAGGCTCCTCCATCCATGGGATTCTCCAGGCAAGAGTACTGGAGTGGGGTGCCACTGCCTTCTCCAAACCTCAGAGCCTAAACAGAATCAAACCAAAAGACATCACGCTTTCAGTTTCCTTTTCAGAGGAGGGAAGAGCTACAAGTCAAGTAAGGTCCTAGGCCCTGTGAATGCCTTAGTAGTTTTTCTTCTCAACTCAACCAGACAGGGTTCCTGGAATGCATGTAGGTTGTGAGTGAGTGGTCTTGCTTTGCAGCCAGACAGGTTTGGCTTTACATCCAGCAGTACCATTTCGTGGCTCTGCATCCTTAAGCAAGTTGTTTAACCTCTCTGGGCATTTCTCATGGATGACACAAGGATCATGGTATTACTTCTTTGAGTGGTTGTGAGGATTAAATGAAATGACCCCTTTAATGCTCTTAGCACAGGACCTCAGTAAATGTAAAAATAAAGCGATAATTTTCCAAACTGGGTTTTCACCAACTCAGCGTTCACAGCTGCCTGTCACAGAGCCCAGCACCTGGGTGTTTAAAAGCATACTTTGGAATTTATTTCAATTTCCAGTCTGCAAGTTGTATTTCATGCAATCAAGCTCAACTGTAGTATTTAGAAATATGTTTTTTAAATGCCGTGTGTTACTGCTATTAATTACTTTCTCATGAGAGGAGGCCATCTCATACTCGAAATTATGTAGTAAACAGCACATACATACCTTACAACAATGAGAAAGCAGTTGATTTCTTTTAAAAGAAAGAGAGAAGGGTGAAAGAGAGAGTGAGGGAGGAAGGAAAAGAAAAAAAAAGGCAGGCCACAAAGTTTCCCCACAGAAGATAAAATATCTCATAAATCAGTGTAATAAGAAAGGTCCAAAATGCCATAGGCAATAGTATGGAATAACAGGTATAATTTCAGTTCTAATATTACAATAATACGGTTTTCAAAGAACTCTTTCCTTTTTAATCAAATAGTTACAGGAACAGTATACCGTTGGCACAGAAAACCGTAAAAAGTATTTTATTAGAGAAAACTAATTAAGAAATGTAGTACACATTTCTCTTAGCATTTCAACGTACCAGAGACTTTCTTTTTTTTTTAGTCAAAAATAGAAAACTTTCAGTTCTCTTTTGAGCGATCCATATTGTGCTCAAAGAATCACAGTTGAACAAGGCTCAGGTCTCCAGGCAGTGCAGCGGCGGGGGAGGGAGGCAAAGGTGAAACTCGAGTTCCCGAATCGCTGCTCATCCGCCCGCCCCCTCCCAGACCGGCCGCGAATCAGGCCCCAGACACAGCGGCTTCCTCCCCCAGCCACCCGCTTCCAGCTGTGAGGACCGCGGGCGGCCTCCTCTGCTCTGCCGAGTCTCCCCACAGTCATCCCCAGCAGCTGGGGCAGCGGCGAACTGCAGGCTCGCCCCAGCCTGCAATTCAGCGCGGTCCAGGCCCATTATGATGGAGAGTTGGATTCGGATAAGCTCAGGAGATGAATTAAGATCAGTCAGAACTTCCTGAACTCGCCCTAGAACACTGAAGATAAAGACTTGGTGTTTACAGAAAGAAAATATCTGCTCAGCTGGGTCCGGTCCCCAGAGAGGCAACTTTCTGTGTGTTTAAAATAGATGGGGAATTTATACAAATAGGCAAGATTCTAGACTCATTGCACTAATAAGGCTCACTCATTACTAAGTAATATTAGACATTTCAAGGAGTGACTGCCTTTACAAAACACTTCTCTGTTAAATGGGGGTAAAACTAGAACTGATCACACTGGGACATTGTGAGGGTGAAATGAATGAATACTTGCCCAATAATTATCACCATCAAATGTTCAGTCTTCCAGGGTCTTTCTGAGTGTGCCACAACGTCTAATAAGGACCAGTGCAAAATGAAAATGTGAGCTCCTTTTTCAAAAATTACTCAGAATTTCGAGCTAGTGACAGCGGAGTGTTAAGGCCAGCGCAGGACTCATCCGAGCCTGTGGCCCAGACGCAGGCCTGTCAGGCCCACCCTGTGTCTGATAATGAGAACACCAAGGCCGAGGTGTTCGCTCACATCGTGCACAACTTGAAAACATCAACGCCTCTGCTCAGCCCCAGGCACAAGCCACGTTCTCTGTGCCCATGGGGATGAAACTTGGGGATTATGCTGCAGGATCAAGTATCCTTAGCTCAGGCGGCTTCGAAATTTATAAACAAGCTTGGGGAGAGGGTCTGAGACTGAGCGGAGGCACTGGTGTTTTAGGGTGACCCCTGAGACTGTGCACCAAATGCGGTGTTTGTGTGTCCTACCAGCCACAGAGGATCCATGAATTCAATCCAAGAGAACAAAGGGTGGGAACCACTCTACCAGGCTTCACATCCCTGAAATCTTCGTATTCCCAGCTCTCGGCATAGTGTCTGGTGTTTAAGGGACAATCAGTAAATGCCAACTGGCAAAGTTGGGGAGAAGGAATGAGTGAGTGGGTCCAGGAACAAGGAGCATGAATATGAAGGTGGCTCCTGTTCAAACCCCAACATCACTGTCACTGGCTGTGTGACCTCACGTGTGGGAGTCACTTACAGAGTTAAGCCTCTGTTTCTTCATCTGTAAAAGGAGAGTATTAACCAGTACCTACCCCCCATGCTGCTCTGGGGGTTAAGTGAGCTCATCACTGAGTCTCCATCTGGTCACTGTACCTCACGTTCTTCTTCTGTTCAATTTGTTGTAACTTCAAGCCAATCTGGAAAAGAAAGATTAACCTTCCCAGCTCTTAAATTATATGGTATGGCCTGTAGCACATCAGTTTATAAAGAAACAAGCAATTTTAAAAATTAACTTTTTTTCCTTAATTCTTCCAGAAGGATAGAAATTAGCTATTGATTTTCACTTTCTATTTTATACCTTTCTGCATTGTCTGCATTTTATTTTAAGGTCAGCAAATATTACTTCTGCAAATAAAGCCAAATAAAGATACATATTTTCTAGGTCCATGGATCTCAAAGTGTGGTCCCCAGACCAGCAGCATCACCTTTAATGCAAGTATTTTACAAAGAACAAACTCAAATGCCGTGAGGGAGGTCCTAAAGGATATGAGATTTTAGCAAAGTTCACGCCATCAACCTGAACTCGCTGTTACTCAGCCATTGTTGTCATGTGGGGAAACTGCCGGACTTTCCCATTTTTCTAGGGGACATCTTTATTTTATTTATTTATTTGTTAATTTTTGGCCGCACCTCGCAGTGTGTGGGATCTTAGTTCCCCGATCACAGATCAAACCCGCAAGGCCTACAGTGGAAGCACTGTCTTAACCACTGGACCACCAAGGATTCCTGGGAATATGTGAGTGTGCCAGCAATCTGCCGCCTTCTGAAAACTTTTAAATACTCCACGAACCAAACACAACATGTCTGCAAGTGCCGTCTGGCCTTGGGTCACCACTTTGCAGCCTTAAATTCTAGGACAGGGATGCTGCTGTCCTTCCTGCTCTACTCAATCCAAAACTGTTACACGGCAAACGTGACATGATGCTCCTTCCTCCATGAGCTCGTACATCCACTTTCCCCTTCAACCCTGCTGTCAACTATTTGACAGATACCATTATCCTCCCATTTTACAGATCAGAAAACTGAGGCGTCCAAGCTCTAACTAGCCTGCCCAAGGTCACACAGCCCATATATGCTGACAGTCAGGACTCTTCCTCAGGACGGGTGAATCTGAAGTCCAGGTTCTTCACTGCTACACTAACCGGCAATAACGTTGGTTAGTCCTCCTGACAAGTGGGGCCTTTTAAAGTTGCTTTCACAATCAGCTCTAGGCCTACTCGACAGCCCTTTCTAGGCCTTCTCTGTCCATCTCAGCAAAGCACCTTCCCTCATCACCTGGCGCTTCGGTGGTTGAGTGTGGTTGGCTGCCTCTCCCAAGCGGTGCACATGCTAGGGGCAGAGTCACGATGCCCTCTGACCTCAGGTGACACGGCCATGCGCCAGCAACCAGGCGAGGAGCCGCCAGGGCACTTGCCGTTGGTTGGTCACAACCATCAGTCCAGACTGTTGTCGCTGCCTGCTGGAGGGTGAGGGAGGCCTTTTCCGGTTCCATTTGTGGCCACCGGTTTTAGACACCTGCCTGATTGTCTACTCTGAAGGTGCAGCCCATTTCTAATCCAAAAAAGGAGGCAAGGGGCCCCGGGCAGGAGGCTGGCGCCTGGCCTGGCGGAGCGGGGCGCGGGCAGCAGGGCACGGGCGGCCGGGCCTTCACCAGGAACCACGCGCACCAGGCTGCCTGCAGCGGGGCCGCAGCCTCCGGGGGCCACCGGGGGTCCTCAGCGTCTCCGGGCTGAGCCCCAGGAGATGCAGAAACACTGCAGACACCCCCCTTCCAGGCGAAGGCTCAGTCTGTGTGAGGCGCCCCCCACCTGCAGCAGATGGGGTCGGAGCGCCGAGGAGCCGGGGCCAGCCCGCGTGGGCGCTCAGCTGTCCGCAGTGTGGGGCCGGGAGAGACGGGAGAGAGGGCCTCCACGAGAGAAGAGGGTGGGCGAGGAGGAAGGGACGGAAGGGAGGGGCAGTGGCTGAGATCAGACACGGGGTGCGGCCCTTACCTCACAACGCTGTGTTCCCCTTCTCCAGGCTCCCAAAAATTAGATTGTAAAAAATTGGAACTATTACAACTTACAGAACTTGCAAGCCTTACCTCTGAAGAAGCACCATAGCAGAAGACTTAGGGATCCAGGCGGCACCGCACCCACAGTGCTGATATTGCTATTACTGTTATTACTACTGACTGTCTATTTTTGGATAAATTTTCCTTTTCTTTTTTACACAAAACCAACAGCTACTCCCTGTAACCAATAGAGCTTTATTCCTCGAAGCTCAAGTTTATTATACTTTTCAGAAAATATTTTTTCGACAAGGGCAGAACATAACCTTCGTGTAACTGTAAAAGTGTTTACCTTGGTAGGGATTGAGTCCAGCTTCCAAACACTGTGTTTTCTAAAGTGTATGAACATTTTCCAGGTACATGGATTTAGAGGCAAGCCATTCTGTTTTAAGTTATGACCAATCACACAAAAGCCAGTTCATCAAAACAGAAGCTATAGAAATGATTTTAAGCAAATCTGTGACCACCTACTAAACAGCTTCTGACACCTGCCAGGGACCAGAGCTGAGTGTTGCTCCGTATACATCATCTGCTTTAATTGTGGCAATGACTAAATGGAATAAATTATTATTACACCCATTTTACAGGTGAGAGGATGAAGGTACAAAGCAAGTGCTTAATTAATTTGTCCAGGACCTTAAACAGTAGAAAGATCAGCCCAGCAACTGAGCACTTCACTTTTCCTTCCAAAATTATTATCTTGCATGAAATCACGGTAGCTTCGAGTCATGAACAATTCCTGGAAATGTGCTGACAAAAGTTACCTCTCTCCCCATATTCCTGATTTTTTTTTTTTTTCCCTCCACCTTGTGTATATTTCTGGTTTAAAAATAACATTCTTTTGGAACTTCCCTGGTGGTCCAGTGGTTAAGACTCCCTAACCAGTGCAAAGGGCTTTTAGTTTTGATCCCTGGTCCACTTTCCCTGCCCAGAAGAGATTTGCAAAAGGAGTATTCTACATCAACATAATAATCCCAGGATGATTATCAAAATCATGAAATTACCATTGATATAGTACCTGTGATTTAATCTACAAACCTTACTCAGATCTGACCTATTGTCCAACGTATTTCTTTTATAAGAAAAATGTTACAGTCTGATCCAGGATCCTATCCTCACGTTGCACCCAGTTTTTCTTTAAAAGCACAATCTATATTATTTATGTGACACATAAAACAAAAAGCTGTAGCTGGCATTGTGAATGTCACGTCTTTCCTTCCTTAAGAGGTGCTGTTTGTCTGGCCTCTGCATACTGTCCTCTAGACCCTGAGCCAGAGGTGATTTATAGAGAAAAATGCCACACACATTCCCTAAATAGTCAGTATCCCATCACTTTCAGGTTAGAACATCTCGACTTGTTTCTTTTTAACCGTCTTCCATCTATTTTCCTGTGTTCTGCATTATCATCTGCTAAAAATATTCCAGCGTGTTATTTGTTTTAGTTCCTGGTGCCAAGACCTTGATATATGCCTTTGCTCTCACCTCAGGAATTTCCCAAATAAATCATGAAACAGAGGACAATTGAAGTTAAGCACCAACCCCTGGAATCTAGAAAGAAGTGGCCTCGATAAACATCAGCTTCTACGTCCCCTGTTTTCCCTTCCTGTCCTAATCCTATCATTTCTCTTTATAAAAAAACACACTGTGCTTAATAAAAGCACCTGGTGAAATCCTGATTTATTTTTGTCTCTTAAGGAGTTAGCTATCAGATGTTCTCAGGATTGCTGTCTCTGGCCTGCCAGTGCTAGCCAATTAGTCCTTCCAAGAGCGTTCATTCACCTCTTTCAGAGCCAGGCCCCTGCCTTTCACTTGGGGAAGCCTTAAGTCAAAAAGGGCCTTTGAGTCCATGGCCCGGGAGGTCTCAACCAGCTCTTCGCCTTCCTGATAGCAAATGGGAAGCAACAGCCACACAGGCTGCGGTAGACTCACAAGCCCGCCCTACGGAGACTAAACGGGCCCCGGGCCACCAGCAGTCGTGTACACGGCTTCGTGTTTGGAGGCGCAGTGGCTGTTTGAGGATTTCCAGGTAAACCATTCTTTGAGAACGGCCTGAAGTCCGGGAGGGGCTCAGAACCGACTGTACATTTTTTGAGCTTGGCATATGATTTTTTTGTTTCCTTCTTCAAAATGAACATTTAAATAGCTCCCTCTGCCAGTTGTATTGTAAGTACTATAATGAGCACTATTTAAACAATGTAGCCATAACTAAACTAGATTATCTATCTGGATTTAATCTAGTGAGAACAAAGAAATCCATTCAGTTTGCCCTGAAATCCGACTTAATACATAAACATGAATGGGCAAAGTCAACATCCTGGGTGACTTTAATGTAATCATATGATTTTTAAAGTACAATATGCCAGAGGAAGGTAAATGTCTGTACCATTACAAAGGCCACAGACTCCCACTTGCTACTATTTCTCGCTTAGGGGCCGTCCTAATTCAGGAGGAAGCCGGCAGGCGAGCTTGCGCTGGAAGGTATTCATCGGAAATTGCACATCACAGCTGTTTGTGTATCCCAACACCCTCTCAGAAGCAAGGTCCTCCAAACTGGTTTCTTTCATCAAGATAGAAATATAAACCGGTGTTCAATAAAAATACAGCCTGGCATCCAAAATGCCAAACTTCTAATAGCAGGTAATGTTAGAATTAAATCAAAGAGCATTATTAGAGTATCTGTGTTCCTAGCTCTTAAAGGAATCAGGAACTAGGCAAAAAACGCTAAACGTTAAAAAGATATTCTTGTCTCTTCTTCACTTGATGTCTTTCTGCTTTGATAAAACTCAAGTGTAGCTTTCTTTTTCCTTTTAATATTGCAATCCAAGTTTTAGAGTTATTATTTTGTTAACATCCAATATGTTCGAGCTTTCTATGCCACCTTTGCTTTTGTTTAATGCTATTAATTATATTCTTGTTTAGTCTGCTATAAGCTGCCCTTGTCAGCAGAGATTCACGGAAGATTTGAAAGAGCAAGCATATTTATCAAAGGAGAAAAAAAATGAAGAAAATAAAGACAGCGCTGGAGCATATTGGATATATAAACTGCTCTTTCTGAAAAGATAAATGATTTGGTAATGAATAGATCCTTTAGGCCATAAAAAATCCATTTATTTTCTTTTGAATTTGAATAGGAGAGATTTGCATTTTTCCGGAGCAGTTACACTTAAATTAAAATGCAGAGCATGAGGCCAGCATACAATCAAACTAAATAATAACCAAGACATACTGTATTGTTCATAAAAGCAAAATTAATAGTTTGGGTAAAGGAAGCATTATGGTAGGAAAAAAAAATGTACATTGACACCAAACACCTACTGTTGGAGAAAATAAAGCGGATTTACAGTATCTACGAATCGGTTATAGAAGTTTGGCATTTATTCTTAGTTATTCGGAGGAGGGGGGAATGGGCGATGTGTTTATCTTGTATGTAATGGGCTATGTAAAAAACGTGTGGTTTTCTGATAGCAAAGTGTTAAGAATGTGTCTCTATTTTTTATGTCTCATTATATAATAGGAAGAAGCTAGCTTTTGCTCAAAGCAGAGTAGAATCGAGGGTTTTTCCCCCCTCCTCAAGATACGTGTTTGGAGTAGGTGTCCTGCTGGGGTCAGAGGGCAGCCAGGACGGCAGAAAAGCCGCAGCCGGGCCGCGGCCCCGCGCCCTCTGCGTGAGGGCCCCGCGGCGCCCCGTCCCCGCCCCGGGCGCGGGGCGAAAGTGCGCGGGGCCTCTGGCCGCCGTCCACCTGCGGGGAGAGTCTGCGGAGAGACGCGCCCCCGGCCCCGGGGCGCCCCTGCCAGTCTGGGGCAGACAGCAACGAAACACGGCGTATCGCGGGAGGCTCGCGAAGCGCGCACGTAAAGCTGGGAGGAAAGAGAGCTAGTCAGTTTCTCTGAATTTCGAGAATAATCTCAGATGAGAAGATCTCCAAGGTACACAGTCCAAACTTAAAAAAAGAAAAAGGCGTGGCAAAATCCAGACGCCTGCGGGGCCAAGCAGGCGGGGCGCGGCGCGGGGTGGGGCCGGGCCGGGCCGGGGCGGGGGTGCCTCGCGCCGCGCCCCGCAGGGTCTGCGGCCGGAGCTCGCCTTCTGTCCAGACACGCCAGACCTCTAGGTTTCTATGGGAAAGCTTACTGTAGAAACGGTGGCCATCATCCCAAAATACTTAAACACCGCCTGAACCGAAAACCATGCGTGTGGCGCTTGGGCACCCGTTCGCCGCCTCTGTTTATGGAGAGCGTGAAAGCTCGGGAGAAGATTTGCTCAGAGCTTGTGCGTGACACCCATCGGTCACCTGGGAACAGTTGCTGAACAACTCGCACTGACGAGATAGATTCTGATGGATAGGAAGGACACGACTTTGTAACTTTGCCTCTGCCATGTATTCATTCAGCTATGTTTTTAAATTGAGCATTTACTACATTCCAGGAAGTAGGCGTTGTTTGAATTGCCCTTGTCTAAAGGGAAATCCATCTTTAGAAACCCATTCAGGAACTTCCCTGGTGACCCAGTGGTTAAGATTCCACTGCACAGGCCGAGGTTCAGTTCCTGGTGGGGGGACTGAGAGCCCACATGCCTTTAGGTGAAGCCAAAAAAAAAAAAAAAAAAAAAACCCGCTCATTCTTCAAGACTTATTCGGTCAATAATTCCAAGAATGTTTCATAAAGCAAGTTCCAAATGGCTCAGAGGGTAAAGCATCTGCCTGCAAGGTGGAAGACCTGGGTTCAGTCCCTGGGTCAGGAAGATCCCCTGGAGAAGGTAATGGCAACCCACTCCAGTACTCTTGCCTGGAAAATCCCATGGAGGGAGAAGCCTGGTGCAGGCTACAGGCAAAGGACAGGACTTGAGCGACTTCACTTTCACTTTCAAAGGCAGTATCCTCCCTTAAGTGATGAGGTTGTCTATTGTACATTAAGTAAC